ATTGTGACTGTGGTGACTTATGACCAGTCTGTGGCCATCTGTTTGCAACCCTCTGCATTAGGCATCATGGATCTCATCACTATGTCTTCTTAAGTTTGGTGTCTTTTGAGTTTACCTCTGGTACTCCTACCTGCAAAATTTTATTGCCTTAACACTTTACCTACTTCAAGGTTGTAGACGTTTATAACATCTTTTTTGCTTTGCTTTATTTTTTGTGGCAGGGTCTCACTATGTAGTTGAGACTGCCCTGGAACTCACTATGTAGCCCAGGCTGGTATCGAACTCACAGTGATCCTCCTGCCTCAGCCTCCCAAATGCTGGGATTACAGGCATGTGCCCCCACGCCCAGCAGCAGCATACCTTTCTTTCTTTCTTTTTTTTGCTACCAGGGATTGAACTCTGGTCCTTGTGCTTGTGAGGCAGGCGGCAGAACCTCTGAGCTAAATCCCTGGCCCAGCATACCTTTTTTAAAAAGGAAAAATAAATAAGTAAATCTGTATTAAAAAAAACCCAAAGTATCGTCGAATTTCTTGTGAAATTTTTTTTGCTATAAAACCTTTTTTAAGATTGTGGATTTGGCACTTTATGATAATGGCATTTTTATGATAAAGGCACTTTTTGCAAGGAACCACTAAGCTAAATCCCTGGCCCAATAAAGACACTTTTTGATAAGACTTTTATGCCTACCTTGCAAGCACAAGGACCCGAGTTTGATCCCCAGTACCAAAAAAAAATAAGACTTTTATGAAAAGTCCTCTGTCCTTTGTTTTCTAGATTCAAGAAAGGCAAGTATTAATAGAAGTTATTTTTTTTTCTTTGATTACTTCCATTTTCTTACAATAAAATGCTTTTTTTGTTTGTTTGTTTTTTGGTACTGGGGATTGAACCGGGGTCTTTGCGTTTGCAAGGCAGGTGGCAGAACCACTGAGCTAAATCCCCGGTCCGATAAAGGCACTTTTGGATAAGACTTTTATGCCTGCCTCGCAAGCACAAGGACCAGAGTTTGATCCCCGGTACCAAAAAAAAAAAAAAAAAAAAAAACCCAGAAAACAAGACTTTTATGATAAGGCCTCTGTGCTTTGTTTTCTAGATTCAAGAAAGGCGAGTATTAATAGAAGTTATTTTTTTTCTTTGATTACTTCCATTTTCTTATAATGAAGTGCTTTTATCTTATTGATATAAATTATTAAATTTTTAAGAGATACTAAAAACATAACATTTTCACTTCTTAATATTTTAGTGTAAATATCAAAGACTTTAATAACCTATCTCTACAATGTCATTGTGCCTAACAATTTCCTCAATATTATCTGATAACTTACTATTATCTGTTAGATGCTTTACACTTTTTAAAAATATTTATTTATTTGTTTGCTTTTGAGACAGGGTCTCACTATGAAGCTGAGACTGACCTGGAACTCACTATGTAGCCCAGGCTGGTCTCGAACTCACAGTGATCCTCCTGCCTCAGCCTCCCGAGTGCTGGGATTACAGGTGTGCGCCACCATGCACGGCTTTTTTTTTATATATATATGCTTAAATCAGTATCCAAATACATTGCATTATTTTGGCCTTGTTTCAAACGTCTTCTCTTCTGATAGACCCCTTTGTTCTTTTAAGTGATATTTATTATTATTTTTATTATTTTATTTTATTTCTTGAGACAGTCTATGTAGTTCAAGCTGGACTTGAACTCACCATGTAGCCTAGACTGGCCTTGAACTCTCAAGCAGTCCTCCTGCCTCAGCCTCCTGAGTGCTGGTATTACAGCCATGTGCCACTATGTTTGGTGACATTTATTTATTGACAGACTCTTTTATTTGTCCTGTATAATTTCTCATATTCTGAATTTGGTTATTTCCTTGTAGTGTTTAACTAGTTGTTTAGAACACTTCCTACCTGGTTGTGACAGCATGCATAACCCTGAGCTTCTGGAAACTGAAACCAGGGTTTTTCTAAGATTGACTCCCACTTGGACAACTTACTGGGATTCTGACCAAAATAAAATAAAGTGGGTCAGTGATTTTGCTCAGTGGTTCTGCCACCTGCCTTGCAAGTGCAAGTCCTGAGTTTGATTTCTGGTACCAAAAATAAATAGATAAATAAATAAAGTAACAGTATAAAATAAAATAGCTGGATGTAGCTGAGTATCAAGACTCTAAGTTCAAGTCATGGTACTGCAAAAAGGGAGGGAGAAGGAACACTTTCTAGATAGATGGTTTTTTTCTGTTTCATCATATCAGAAGGTCCATGATGTCTGCTTTATCCACTTTAGTGATTGGAATAAATGGTCCTGAGCATTTTTTTCTGTTGTTGTAGTGCAGAGCACAAATTTAATGCATATGTACAGCTTAAATATTTCATGGATATGTATGTGTAGCCCCCACCCAGATCAAGATACAGAACAGTTGTACTACCTTGTGCTCTTTTAGTCAGCACCCATGCTCAAAAGTAAATGACATTTTGGCTTTTTATCACCTAGAATACTTTTAGATTAGGGAATTTGCATTCTGTCCTTCATTTTGACATTGTCCATTTCTGATGATGATGACTATTATTATTGGCAGTACTGGGGATTGAAGTCAGGGCCTTTGTCCTGAGCTACACCCCCAGCCCTTTTTTCCTCTTCTGTTTTCAGAGGGAGTCACCAAATGGCGCAGGTGGGGCTCGAATTTATAATCCTCCTTTCCGAATGATGGGATTATAGATGTGTGCCATCACTCCTGGCTGGATGCTCTTTACCTTTACCTACAAATAAGAACACTATCTTACTTAGCCAGTGTAAACTTATCAAAATCTGGAAATTACTGTCTATATAACAGCCAATCTACAGACCTTACTTAGATCCCCTCAGTTCTGATAATATACCTTAAGGTAAAGAAAATGCAGATCATTTGATTGGTAGATTTTATTTTTAGTTTTTTTTTAAAGAAAGACTGGGGAATAGTTCATTAGTCTTAAGCTTTTATGGGTTTGAAGGTTTACGAATACAGGTTAGTTATAGTATCTTCAGTTTGGGTTTATTTCATGTTACCTTATAGTTCAATACAATTATACATTTTTGCTGGAATATCACAGAAGTTGATATATTTTATCAGAGACATGTGATATCAATGTGTCACATTTTTGATGTTGGCTTTGAACATTTAAGGTAGTGTCAGCCAGGTTTCTGCATTGAAAAACTTCTTTCTGAACTCCATTGTTAGTTTTTTCCTTCTGTTACTAGTAGGTATCTTGAGTAGTATATGTAAATATCCTGTTGTTCTTCCATATGAATCTGCTCATTTTAGCTACATTTACAATTTTTGCCTGAATCAGTTATCACTGAGATGGTTGCCCAGAGACTTTTAAAATTAATCATTTTTCCTATATTAGTATTTGGGAAATTTCCCTTTATTCTCCATGTATAGCATATGTATAGAGTATGTATTTATTTATTACTGTAAACTCATGGATGTGCATTTTTATCAGCCATATCTGTCAGTACATGTATTTCTTGCTGCTGGATTTGAAGATTTTAAATAATGAAAGCACAAGGTATTTAAGATCAGCTTTTGTGATAACATTAATTCCAATCTCATATTTGGAAAAAGTATGAAAATGTAAGTTTAAAAAGAAGATAGAGTAGGGAGGGTTTAATTTCTTGGTCTAGTCCAAAGCATAACTAATAGGATTTTATAAGAGTTTTATAATTATTATTTTATAGGTACACCTTATGAGATTGTCACCTTTTGTTTCAGAAGATTGGCGCTAACTTAAATATCTCTTATTAGTTATATGTTATTAAAATACATCCTTATAATATTATACTTTCCAGCCATATAAAAGAATGAAGAAGCTATTTAAGTGTTGATATAAATGGTCTTTTAAAATGTATTAAATGTGGCCAGGTGTGGTGGTGCATGCCTGTAATCCCAGCACTCGGGAGGCTGAGGCAGGAGGATCACTGCAATTTCGAGTCCAGCCTGGGCTACATAGTGAGTTCCAGAGCAGTCTGAACTGCATAGTGAGACCCTGTCTCAAAAAACCAAAAAAACGTGTAAAAAACAAAAAAAAAAAAAAAAAAAAAAAAAAAAAAGGATTAAATGAGAAAATGCTATGTGTATTTGGTTGTATATGTGTAGAGTAAATATTTTTTGAAGGAATCACAAGAAACTAGTAACATTTGTTGACTTTAGGAAGTGAAGCTGGATGTTTGGGGATGGGAATGGGATGAAGAATATTTATTTTTATCCTTTTAAAGAAAATCTTTTGACTTTGAATTTTAATTAAATATATTTATTTATTTGGTACTAGGGCCCAGGGTCTTTGTGAGCTAAATTCTTAGCCCTCCCTTTTTAAAAAAAATTCTGAGACAAGGTCTTGCTAAGTTATTAACTTGGTCAGGCCGGTCTTGAGTTTGTGATCCTCCAGTTTCAGCCTCCCAGAGTGCTGGGATTACAGATGTGTACCACCATGTCTGGCTTAATTAACATTTTAAAATTCACACATTGCATATGTAAAATTACTGAAACATTTTATATAATTGTAAGAATTATAATCAAACTAAGTTTTCCAATATAATTTCTATGTAAATATGAAGTAGAAATAAATGTATAGATTAAAAATGTAGGATGTTTTCATTGTTTTAGTGCAAAATAGTAGAAAAGTGGGTAAAAATTTGGCAACTTTGTTTATATGTCATGGTATCATTGTGTATAAGAGTCTTAAATGAATATTTGGTTTGTTTTCTTTTGGCAGCATGCATATGCACTAGAACTTCTATTTGATCAACTGCATGAAGGAGCTAAAGCTCTTGATGTAGGATCTGGAAGTGGAATCCTTACTGCATGTTTTGCACGTATGGTAAGAGCTTTATTTTTTTATACCAATCCTAGCAGAGATACATTATGTGATTTTGCTGTATTTTTTTCACTAGTGATTTTGTTTTTTTGTTTTATTCTATTAAGATAGCAGTTGCAATATAAATCACTTGGGATTTTTTTGTTATTATTGCTGTTAATGACAGAACATTTAACCTGAACTGGTGGAGCTAGAAAGGATGTAACAGAAAAGTCTAGGAGTATGTCTGGCTTCTTGGTGGCTAGATTTAGAAGACCAAACATTATTGACAATGAGTTTCTGTCTGGTTCTTGGTTTCGTTTTTTCCCCCCATACGTTAGCTTCATTACCAGACTTTACCTTTTGATCCCAAGATGGCAACCAGTAGCTCTTTCTTGTTTTTGTCTTGCAGAAAAGAAGAGTAAGCCCGATTTTCAGATACTCTTGCAGGTATATTAGGAATAAAGGTAGAACTTCTTTGATATTAGGAAAAATGCTCTTAGAAAAAAAAAAAAAGCCATGTTTATTGTACTTCACTTTTCATGACCAGAGGCTTATCTGATGATTAATTATCCAGAATATAAGGCAGGGGCCCACTAAAGCATCATGGAGGGAATGTTCATCTGTGCTCAGATAATCAAATCAGCTTGGCTATGAGAAATCTTGTGCTTGGAGATTGGAAGGTTCTGGTCTAGTTGAGATGTAAGGATCCATCTTGGACTAGAATCCACATAACTTACCATAAACATATAATCAGCAAGCCTGCTAGACTGTGGAGATTTTGTCTTTTTTTTTTTTCATTGCTGTTCTCTCTCTCTCTCTCTCTCTCTCTCTCTCTCTCTCTTGATACAGGGTCTCACTATGTAGTTGAGACCTGGAACTCACTATGTAGCCTAGGTTGGTCTCAAACTTGCGGCGATCCTCCTGCCTCAGCCTCCCGAGTGCTGGGATTACAGGCGTGTGCCACCATGCCCGGCTTTGCTCTTTATTTTTAATGTGATATTTAAGCTTATGTGTCTGATTTATTTCACTTAACATCTCTTTTGATACAGGGTCTCACTATGTAGTTGAGACCTGGAACTCACTATGTAGCCTAGGTTGGTCTCAAACTTGCGGCGATCCTCCTGCCTCAGCCTCCCGAGTGCTGGGATTACAGGCGTGTGCCACCATGCCCGGCTTTGCTCTTTATTTTTAATGTGATATTTAAGCTTATGTGTCTGATTTATTTCACTTAACATCACGGTCTCAAGGAGTATCTGTTTTCCTACAAATGACTCAAGTTTATCTTTTTTTGTAGCAGAGTGGTACTCAGGTGTATATATACCACATTTTCTTTATCCATTCTTCTGTTGATGGACATTTAGGGTACCTCCAAGATTTGGCTATAATGAATTGTGTTCTATAAACATGGGTATGCATGCATCACTGTAATATGATGTCTTTAATTCTTTTCAGGAAGATATTCAGAAGGGGATAGTTGGGTTGAATAGAATTTCTAGTTTTAGTGTTTTGAAGGATCTGATTTTCATAGTGGTTGCACTAGGTTGTAGTCCCTCCAGCAGCGTAGAAGGGTTCCTTTTCCCCTGTAGCCTCGTCAACATTTGTTATTATTTGATATCTTGATAATGGCCATATTTTTTAGGGTGAGATGGAATCCTGTTGTTTTAATTTGCATTTTTCTAGTGCAACTTTGAGCATTTCTTCATGTATTTACTAGTACTTCTGTCTTCAGTTCACTTGACCATTTTTTGATTGGGCATTTTATTTTGGGGAGATCTATTTTTTGAATTTTTTTATATATATAGTGTAGATATTAGTCCTCTGGCTGAGGAATAGCTGACAAAAAATTTTTCCCTTTCTGTAATATAATTATTTAGTGTCGTTGTAGTTGAGAAAGTTGTATATGGTAAGTAATTTATGGTAACCTGAGTGCTTAGCAATCTAATTGGAGACTTAAACTGAGTCTTTGTGTGTCTGTGTATGTGTGTGTTTTTGTGTGTGGTGAGAATTGAACCCAAGACTTCCTGCTTGCTAGGCGAGTGTTGTACTGCTGAGTAACACCCACCCCTTTTTAAATTTTGTTTAAGACAGGGTCTCACTAAGTTGCTCAGACTTAAACTTTCAGTCCTCTTGCCTTAACCGCCCCCCCGCGAGTAACTAGGATGACAGTTATGCACCACCACACCTAGCTTAAGCTGTTCATTTTTTGTATTACTTTAAATAAGAAGACACTTTAATGACACTTTAATAAAATAAATGTAGCCCAGTCAGCTGTTGAATTATTTTCTCTTTTTTAGGTTGGATGTAATGGAAAAGTCATAGGAATTGATCACATTAAGGAACTAGTAGATGACTCAATAAATAATGTCAGAAAGGACGATCCAACACTTTTGTCTTCAGGGAGAGTACAATTGGTTGGTAAGTATCAGAAAATTAAAATTGTTTTTCCCAAAGGATTTTTATTTTCAGAACATCTTGTGCAAGCTGAATATACTTAGTGCTAATTATTTGTATACTTTTAAGTACTAAATAAGAAAAACATTTACCTTTTTGCCCTTCTAGTGAATATGCAGCACTGTGTCTTAGTCACTTTTTCCATGGGACAGAATACCTGGCACCCACAATTTAAAGGAGGAGAGGTTTATTTGGGCTCACTGTATTTAGAGGTTTAGGTCCATAGCCGGCCGACTCCAAGGCAGAAATGACATGGCAGAGGACAGAGTGGAAGAAAGATGCTCAGGTGTTGGTGATCAGGAAGCAAAGAAAAAGGGAGAAGCTGAGGAAAGCAGTTTTCCTTTCCAGGGTCGTGACCCTGGTGAGCCACCTCCAACTTGCCCCACTTCCTAACAGTAGGTCAGCTATTAACTCATAGTGGACCAATCCAGGGGACTGGTGAGTGTAGTACCTCCATGATCCAGTCACATTCCAGATCTAAATCATAGCGGTGTCTATGATTTCAATTTTGCATTTTCTTTTTTTTAAATCTTATTGAGTTTATTGGTCCATTTTAGGTATACAGTACAGTTACATTCATCACTGGGATCTTGTACCCTTACATGACAGGTCTTGGTTCTCATTTTACCCCCTTCACCTGCCCTCCCTTTACCCCCTCCAACCTCCCCTATTTACAAAGACTTTGTTTCCATTTTTTCCTTTTCTCGTATTTTTTTCTTTTCCCTTATTTCCTTTCCCCTACCCTTCCCACTTCCCCTACACCTTTAGCCCTTTTCTTCTATTTCACATTATCTTATTTATACTTTTAATTTTTCACCCCAGGAAAACTATTTGGTATTTACACATGTGTGTCTTATTTATTTCACTTAAGAGTATGGCCTCAATATTCATTTTCTTTATAATTAATGAGATTGAACACTTTTTCATGTATTTCATCGTTGGGTTTTCTCTATTGTAAAATACTTGTTCAAGTATTGGATTGTTTATTTTTTTTATTTATAGGCCTTCTAGAAGCTAGCCTTTTGTTAGTTTATCAGTGTCATAAATCTCTCTCTTTTTTTTTTAGTCTTTTTGAGATAGGGTTTCACTGTGCAGTTCAGTCTAGCCTTGAACTCACTTTGTAGCACAGGCTGGCCTTGAACTTGCAGCAAACCTCCTGCCTCAGCCTCCTGATATAAATCTCCTCTGACTTCCATTGTATGCTTTTTTTTTTTTTTTTTTTTGAGATAGGGTCTCACTATGTAGTTGAGGCTGACCTGGAGCTCACTATATAGCCTAGCCTGGTCTCGAACTCTCAGCAGTCCTCCTGACTCAGCCTCCCAAGTGCTGGGATTACAGGTGTGCACCACCATGCCTGGCCCATTATATGCTTTTTAATGTTATTGGCCCCTTTTGATAATTAGAAATTCTTAATATTAAGGTAGTTACATCCAGTGTGGTGGCTCACACCTGTAATACTAGCACTTGGGAGGCTGAGACAGAGGGAGCACCTGAAGTTTGAGCACCTCAGTTACATGGTGAGTTCAGGACTAGCCAGCTCTACAAAGTGAGACCTTGTCTTAAAAAAAAAAAAAAAAAATTAAATTTTCCAGTGCTTTTGGTATTGTTTAAGGCTGAAGTCATGAGGATATGTTCTTGTATGATTTTTTTGTCTTTATATGATTTTAGTTTTTTATGTTTAGGTCTTTGATCTTCCTGTCATTGATTTTTATGTATAGGGGTCTAACTGAATTTTTTCCATATGACTATCCAATTGTGTCCAATTTTTTTTGGTTTTTGTTTTTTTGAGACTTTGTAGTTTACGCTGGCTCTGAACTATGTAGCCCAGGCTGGCCTTGAACTCGTCTTGATCCTCCTGTCTCACCCTCCTGAGTTCTGGGATTGCAAGTATATTGCACTACACCTGGCATCTTTTTTTTTTTTTTCTTTTGATTAGGGTCTCACTAAGTCCCTGTGTTACCCAGGCTGTACTTGAATTTGCAGTCCTCCTGCTTCAGCCTCCCACAGTGCTGGGATTACAGGGTGTGCCAGTATACTTGGCCTGAACAGGTTTTTAAAAGCATAACTTGGTTTTCTTTCAGTGGGAGATGGAAGAATGGGATATCCTGAAGAAGCCCCTTATGATGCTATTCATGTAGGAGCTGCAGCCCCAGTTGTACCCCAGGCAGTGAGTTGACTTTTTTTCTGTTTGTGTGTTTTATTCAATTAAACTCTTAACAGATCGAGGAGAAAGTAGGGAGATCTTTTTTAGTTGGGAAGGGGAGTAAGAGATGGAAGAAGGGTTGAGAGAGGGGAGGTAAAGAGGATTAAAAAAAGAATTGGGGAAAAAATAGAGATAGAGCTTTTACAGATGGGAAGGTGATCAAGAGATGGAAGGAACAGGAGGGAGGGGAGAGATAGAGGATGAAAAAAGAGTTAAGCTGTGTTATAAACATGTACTGTACCAACTCCCCAAGAATAATGTCCGCATTATGTATTGCAAACATGTACTAATAAAAAGAAAAGGCTTCTAGATGATGTGCAAAATATATTTAGACTTTTGTTTCATTCATTTGAGTTACAATTAGCTGGAATGTGGTTTTCCTCATATATGAATAAATGTGTAAATGACATGGAAATTATTAAACCCCAGGTCAATGCCATCTTATCTGAAACAGTATTTGATCCATGTAAACCAGGACAATAATAGAATTGGAAAAATCTTTCTGGAGTTCATGACCTGATAATAATTTTGGTGTTTTATTAAATATAAGGATAGCAAAACTATAGGGGGTGAATGGGAGATAAAAGGAAGTATTTGTTATATCCTCATAAAATTTAGGTTCTAGAATAGAATACATTTAAGAAGGAATTTAATGCTGTGACAGCATATAGTTAGCATATAATATTATATAGGAGAGAAAATATATATGAGGGGAGAACATACATGTGCGCGCGCACACACACACACACACACACACACACACAAATGTTTTTGTACCCAAGGGCTCATGTATGATAGGCAAATACTCAACTACTGAGCTAGATTCCCTAACCCCTTTAAAATGTTATTTTGAGACAGGGTCTTGCTAAGTTGCCCACAGTAGCCTTGAACTTGTGACTCTCCTGCCTCAGCCTACCTGGGATTGCAGACATGTTCTATCATTCCTGGCTAAGAATCTAGGTTTTTTTGTTTTCTTAGAGTAGTGCGATAAACCCAGGATGCTTGTCCATGTTAGTATTCCACCACTGAGCTACATTCACATTTCAGGGGAGACAAATTTGCATTGAGTAACAAAAAAGACACCTATAGTGATGGAACTTGAACAGAATCTTAAAGAATGGTAGAATCTGGAATATTATTGTACATTACATATAATATTGAACATTACATAGTTAAGAAAATGTTTAAAATACCATATTTCATTTTAGTGAGATTCTAATAAGCCTGTGTCAGCTTTTAATAATGTTCATTTAAGTTCACTGAAATACTAAGTTTCTGTTACATAAGAGCTTTACATAGTTTTTGAATAGATATCCAGAGGATTGAAGGTCTCATCCACTCCTGCAGTGGAATATGTGGTTTTTGTTTTTTTCATGTTCAGATTAGTTATAAGAAGATACACACTGAGAGCTGGGATATAGCTCAGAGGTAGAGCCCTTGCTTGCGTATTTGAGGCACTGTGTAATCTCTAGTACCTTCAAAAAAAAGGGAAATTTGCAAAATTTGCTCTGGTCATTGATTACCATGCACTACTCATTGGCTGAATGACTTTGGGAAAATCACATATTTTCTCTGCCTTTGTTGGCTTTTTTTTTTTTTT